TGAAGACACGTCACGTGATATATTTATGTCTGAAATGACGTCACAAATAGTATGGTCATACCGATTATTGGACAAAAAGACTGTTTATCACACAGCACACCTTGCAGACCAACCAACTGTATCTACGTAACTCGTCACAAAGATCATGCAAAACAAAGACCAAAACAAAACAAAAGTATGCATGCAGGCAACACATCACAAACACTGTCGCCAACCTGTCGACTGATCTGCAAACAGGCACATAGTGTTGTTTGTCTGCTGCTTAACACGGCACTCATCAATATTCCATCTATATAAGGAGGCCAACACTTACTACAAAGTTAAAATCTTGCACAAGAACGATTATGAATACAACGTAAAAGTAAAAAAATACTGAAGTTTCCTTCGACACTTAAAACCCAATAATTTACTGTTCAAAGAGGGTTTCCGTGGTTTTTCAACAAATGGATTAGTAAATGCTAGAGACTGAGAATTGCTGGTACACATGGGGCCAGTGCCAATCACTTAAAAGAAACTTAAAAGAAACTTCTCCGAAGAACATGACCAACAATAGGAATATGACCAACAATAGGAAGTACGTCACATCAGTAGGCAATACCTTCTGACATAGAATTAGTAACACGAAGCATTAAGACGAGTGACTGGTTTTATTAACTGTCCACGACTTCGACTTTTAACATTTTGATTACAGCGCCAAAACAATCGCACGAGGTGGTATTGTAGTAATTGAAGAGGAATGTTGGGCGCTTATGTATAACATAAAATCGTGAACCGTATATTTACTTTCTAAAATGAGGCAGTATCATTACGGTGTAACGCTAATTAGTTCTGCGGTGGTGCCTGTGCATGGCAGTTTTCATTGCTCTTTTTCGGGAATGTGTCAAAACGTTTCATTGAGACTTTTAACAGCTTCACCAGTGGTTATCAGATGCGACCAATAATACTAGGATGACACGGCCCTGCATTAAATGGTGAGAGAAAAACCACATTAAATACCTACAGGGAATAATCCAGGTATGTATTACATATCGCTGAAGTATGTGTTCTGTTTGAATAGACAGTGGTGATTCTACATGACTGGGTTAGGTTGAACTCGGCTATAGGAGTATCATAACAAGGCCAGGGTATACAATAGAACACCGAAAAGATGTATTGCGTTAAACGTGTTTAAAGGTCACAAGCAACCAAAAAAACAAACATAATTAAAACACAATTATCACTTATTCATGACATATAATATACATTGCTGATTATGAAAAAAAAAAATATAAACAAAATTATAAGCGTACAATCGCAAAACAAAAGTGCAGTATTTGGTACTTGAGTCTGTTTCGCTCGAAACGAAGCACCCGGGAGACCGTTAGAGACCGAACCCAGTCAGAGCGAGTGGCTGTGCACTCAAGTGTAACGAAGGCTTTCATTGGCTGGTTCATTTGCCGATACGCTGAGGGCTCTTTTGTGAGTGTATATAGAGATGTTGGGTTTTGTAAATACATGCTCATTTTTTCTGCATGGTGAACTACTGCGTGGCTGAAAACTGTCGTTCGTTCAAAGCAGGACTTGAAACTGACAATCTGAGTTTGCCCCGGTTTCCGTCCGATCATGTCATCAGAGAAAAATGGATGCTGTTTGTTTGCAACCCACAGACATAATAACATGTCATGTGTACAAGTATCACACCTGCCTGTCTGTGTAATTACATAATGTGACAGAGACAGAACTCAGGTGCACGAGCCATAAATCAATGTATTTTGTTTATGGTGTATAGCCTGATACGTTTCAAGTTCAAATTGCATGTGGTCAATGATTGAAGTCGTGTATTGCATATTGTCATTAGCAGACAGGCAGGCAGACACAGGTGTCAATAAAACAGACATTTAGTTTTGTCTGTGACAGAGACTGCTTATCACAATCAACATATTTTTCTGTTTCCATAGACATGTATTAAAACATTTCAGTTTTCAAGCTGAGCAATTTTTAACAAAGAAATTAGTATTTCTAATGCTACACTTTCTTAAAAACTTGGTTTGCAAATCTGCCAACCCCCAAAAAGCAAGATGTGAAAACATATAAGAAAAAGTATGGGACCAGTGTATTTTTATTACTGCAGACCAATGATGCTTGTAATAACAAGAAACATCTTTTGTTCTCCAACTTCGACCACAGCGATAATCCTTGCATGCACCACTTTTTACGAATCGCCTTCCCGGTTCAAGCCGCGCGAACCTAATCACTGCGCATGCGCTATGGGCGCAGCGCAGCACAGCTGTTGAAACCACTTTTCACCCCAGCGCTGGGGTGAAATTAGTGAATCGTTTGAACTTTGATTTCACGGGGTTTTTTTTCATCGCGTTATTTTTCAACTTTATAAGTTGAATTTGCATTTTTGATAATTTGTTACTGTAAGTCAATACCGAAAGGTATCAGAATCTGCAAAGTGTTTTGCGTTGCATGTGACCTTTAAGGTCATTTTCGTAATGTCCTGAGGAGCGGTGGGGTAGCCTGGTGGTTAAAGCGTTGGTCACGCCAAAGACTCGGGTTCCATTCCCGCATGGGTACAATTTGTGAAACCCATTTCTGGTGTCTCCCGCCGTGATATTGCTGAAATATTGCTAAAAGCGGCGTAAAACCATACTCACTCACTGATGTCACGATGTGTAGGGAGTCGAAACTGATGCAGATCCTGTCACACAATGATGCCAACCATGGATCACACTCAAGGCGATGAAGGATTCGAACCCACGCTCATTGACCCTGGAGTGTCAATTGGGATAGGCGCATTGGCGGACCATAAGGCCCTTGCTTTGATGAATCGCACCAATGAAACTTGAAAGACCTCTATTCATCAATCACAAATTCACAACTGGTTCACTTCCATTCTGTCTCACACACTCCTTCATCCTTTCATTACTGGACTCTCTCTCCCATGTGTACAATTGAAACATTCGTCTCACACACTCTTTCTTTGCCCTTCTTGGCATTCATGAATTATTATCATGCTGACCATGCGCCTTGGTAAAGATAACAAGTTGGTTGGTTTGTCGTTTAACGCCGCACTCAGCAATATTCCAGGTATATGGCGGCGTTTTTTATAACACGAGCTTCGAGACAACCGAACAGTCCCCTCCCTGTTCTAATTCAGATTCCACTTCAAAGAAGTCGATAACTCGATCTGTGGGTTGCTTCTAGTGATAGAAGAGTTGAACTAATGAGAATAATAAAAACCGAATGGCCGAATGGCAACAGAAGAAGGCGCTTAGATAAAAGACTGGAAATTGGATATTTTATTTATGTGAGATTTTGATGTAGATGGATGTGTACATCTCCGATGACGTCAGGTGTCCGAAACATAACCGGGGTTTTTTGATCACGTGATTTACACTATTTCGTTACAACCGTTATTGGTACATCTTAGACTTGCTTTTTGATCATTTGGACATGGGATTGAGCTACTAGTGGGAATATCATGTATCTGGGAAATATCAAAAGGTATTCCTGTGTTTGTGTGGGTTGCAATCCTCCGGCAGCTTCACCGTGGATACAGAATTGCCTTTGTCTCGAATAGGCCAAGTCGGGGCGAGAAGAGGAAGTGGGTCTCGAATAGGCCAAGTCGGGGTGAGAAGAGGAAGTGGGTCTCGAATAGGCCAAGTCGGGGTGAGAGAAAGAAGATAGATAGATAGATAGATCGTCTAGAATGAATGGGACTAGGTTGACGGTGGGGGTGAGAGAGAGAGAACCTATGGGTTTCAGTACTGGTGCTTGATGCTGCACAAGCTGTCGGTTTCAATACTGGTCTCTGACGCTGAACAAGCTGTTTGTTTCAATACTAATATTGCTGTGGGGTTGAATACTGGTGTCTGACGCTGAGCATGCTGCGGGTTTGAATACTGGTGTCTGACGCTGAACATGCTGTGAGTTTGAATACTGGTGTCTGACGCTGAACATGCTGTGGGTTTGAATACTGGTGTCTGACGCTGAACAAGCTGTGGGTTTGAATACTGGTGTCTGACGCTGAACATGTGAATACTGGTGTCTGACGCTGAACATGCTGTGGGTTTGAATACTGGTGTCTGACGCTGAACTAGCTGTGGGTTTGAATACTGGTGTCTGACGCTGAAAATGCTGTGGGTTTGAATACTGGTGTCTGACGCTGAACAAGCTGTGGGCTTGAATACTGTGTCTGACAAGCTGTGGGCTTGAATACTGGTGTCTGACGCTGAAAATGCTGTGGGTTTGAATACTGGTGTCTGACGCTGAACATGCTGTGGGTTTGAATACTGGTGTCTGATGCTGAACATGCTGTGGGTTTCAATACTGGTGTCTGACGCTGAACATGCTGTGGGTTCGAATACTGGTGTCTGACGCTGAACATGCGGTGGGTTTCAATACTGGTGCTTGAGGCGGAACAACCTGCTGGTTTCAATGATTCGTGGCGACGCTTAACGAAGCATTGCTAAATAATGTAGATTTCAGCGACACATGTTATTTGTAACGAACTCGAACCTACTTTATATGTATAATTGATACTCTGCGTTCATTTGTCTCCAGGTCGAAAGGCTACGCTGCAACAAACACAACTGTGTAGTTCTGCAGTAATGTTGTAAGAGGCATTTGAATGTTTCACTGTTACGATAGGTATACGCTGTTGTATCTCAACCCTTGTCGTGAGAATTCCTGGGGTGGGACTTTATGTGATCCTAATGAAACGTGAATACATTTGAACCTGTAGACTACCTTGGGGATAGTTTGTTATTGTGACCGGACAGAGTGGTGGATCTGTCAGGATTTGAAGCACGGGATATCCTGACCAAGGATGTATACAGATCGCTGTGATGTAACTGACATATGGGCTGCTGTAAAACAACATTTACTTGTTTCGTAATATTGGAGTGGCCATGACGCTCTCTCTCTCTCTCTCGATCGCTATGATCCCTGTTCTTGTGTCATATCAGTGTTGTGACATAACCCAAGGCCATGGATAAAGAAAACAAGGAAACTTATTTCAGGTTACAATGCACATATATTTATTTACAAAATACTGTTCACGATATGCCAAAATAGCCACATCAGGTAACGAGCCTCAGCGCCGTTGGAATGGTGAAATGATAAAGATTTGCATAACAAAACACAAATGGATCTCCATGATGGTAGAATGCATGATATTGAATGAGGATGCCATCAACTGACATTTACATATAATCCACTGTATCACCACGCACATGCAGCTCTCAGACTTTAATATAAAATACCAAGTAATAACATTCCCAGAAATACATTTCATATAGCTCGGTTTCAAATATAAAATGATGCCTCACATATTATCACTCGTGTTTAATGAAATATATAGTCGTTATATTAACAGGCCATCACTTTGAATGACAGTGAAGATATGCGGGACTTGTGTTCTAACCCTAACATAGTTCACCGTGAATACTTGTCGTGCTAACCTGAACTAGGGCATATGATGGTGTTTTATCATATGAAAAGATAATGGCATGACTAATACTTAATACTGGGATATTATCCCTGAATACTAGCGCTAATATATAATAATAACGTCATACCAGTGTGTGTCAAATTCACGAGTACAGAATAGGATAGAAATAGGTGAAACTTACACAACCTATGATGTCAGTCAAATACGAAAATAATCTCATATATGGTCGAATCGCTGGAAAAGATTCTGCATGATGTTTTGTTTCGAAAATATACCGTACATTGAAATGTTTATGTCATATATATACACGGGGAAACCATATTCACTCGAAATCAATAAAACATAAAATAATCCGACACTCGAGAGAATCATGACCCAACTGTAAACGGATAGTTATGAAAAGGGTTTTGCAGGGGACATGACAACGCTTCATATTCTACGTTATTTAGAGTTAAATGAATCCGAGCTAAAACGGTTTCACAGTGTACGAACACAACAGTATGAAATCTCTAATAATGGTATGACTAACACTATGCACCTGACACTGTAAGGTAACACTAGTCTGATGCTATGATATCGATCTCGGGGGATTCATTAATGCAAATTGCTATCACTCTTGTACGAGTCGCATATTAATATCTATATGCATACATGGACGATGGTATGGTTCCGACGTGACATTGTAAGGCGCAGATAGTCAGGCAATGTTTGTTGTTTTATGAGAAAACGCCATTATAAATATACAATGTACACCGAATGAATACATGTAAATAATGAAGTTTCAAGAACATAGTAACTATGAAACTATGTAAATACCCCAAAAGAATATGAATTGATAGTCTAATGTTATATAAAATGGATATATTTGTGAATGATTTGTAAAGTTTCACAAATATTTGAAATAGTTCGAAAAACAATGATTCCTGTATTATGACTGTTGATCTGTACAAAGCTCACTAACAACGCATAGTATGCATGATTGCTTGGAGGCTAGTAATCACAAACCAATTGTTCTAATCTGTAGCCATGTCGCTGAGTGAACAAACTAGGAAATAACAGGAAGGACCAACAAAATCTTTGGCATTGAACAAATATTATCAACCACAGAAACAACTAATAATCAGCAACAGTTGATTTTTTAAATAATTTTAAATTAACAAACAATGATTGGCGGCTAACATCGTGTATATAACAGCGTAATATACAAGCTGGAGCCAAGCACCGTTATTTACATTTCATAATCTCTATGTCGATTTCAGATGTAGATGTCAAACACCCTACATGACTGAAGAGCAAATTGAGCAATGGTGTTAGATATGTACGGGTGTTTATTTCACAACACACACCTCGTTGTTGGCCAAGTTCAGCTGCATAGCCGGCAAAATATTTCCAAGCTCTGAAAAAGGATACATGCAAGAGATACCTCATGTCACAACTCGAGAAAGATAATCACAGTTTGTTCAAGAAACAGGGTAGGTTTCACAAAACATTTCATCAATGTCTTCCGGGTTCAGTGTGTAACTACCGGAAGTGGTGGTATTGTCATCGTCGTCATGGCTACGGGGAACCTTGGGATACCAGCTTCCGCCATTAGCAAATGTCACATCGCTTCCCGTCTTGGAAAGCTCCGCACTGTCACACAGAAACGCGAGTTTGTTTGTCGGGGGAATGTGGTTACTTGTGTGAAGAATACGCTCGAGGTTTTGAAGGTTTCTTTGCGTCAATCCCTCGTTCGCAAACGTGACCCTTTTCCCAATGCTGTTCCGTTTGACTTGCAGAGGGTCATCAAAAGAACCAACGCTCAGATTTCGAGACTTTCGCTTTTCCTGGATAGGTAATTCCTGCTCCTTGATTGGTCGAATGAAAGACGGTTTGACATGAGTTTGGGTGTTGAAGGACGGGTGGAGACGAGGCACAAATGTTTGAAAGGTCGGGTCATCTTTTAATGGCCGGTTACCATGTCTGTGGTTTCTGCGTTCTTTCATTTCGACAGCCAATCGATGGGGGTCGTCAGTGCTGGAATATTCCCCTGAGAAAAATACAAAATATAGAATTAATGGAAGTATCAAAACATGATGTAATGAAAAATGTATTTCTTAAAGTGTCATTGACTTCAGTTTAATGCCGCCTTGAACAATATCCAGGGCGGATCTCCCTCGAAAAGTATTCCCCTGAGGATCATTTCCCCCCTAACCTTTCGACTTCATGATATGTGTGCACCCCCACCCTTCTCCAAAATCATGGATCCGCCCCTGATATCCAAGTAATGTTATATATCCGGGCTTGTCAGTTGGATGTCGAAGCACAACTCGAAGTGATGAACGTCCTAGACGTTGACTACTTTGGTGGCACCGATGAGCTCGGGCATAGCCCTGACAGGGTGGGATCATAATCAGGCTAAGTTTGTTTAACATTACATAACCTGTGTGTATGTATTACATGCTGGTAAACAGGCATCATTTATCTGAAAATGGCTTCCCCTGACAACCCTAATTCTATGATTGTCTGTTTCTGTCAATCACCTTCGGATTCGGGCAGAGGGGGCAGCTGAATATCTTCTTCACTTCCGCCTCGGCCGCTGTCGCTCGCAGTCAGCTCTCCTGACGAGTTGCTCTGAATGTCATCCATCTGTGGATGCAGGGGATGCTGAAATGAAATTATTCCGAATAAAGATTTCTTTTATCTGCGGGTAACAAATTCTAGGAAATATAACACGCCAGGTTAGTGCTAACACACGCATTCGATTTGCACGAAATGAACAAACTCCTGATTCCAGGATTCCTATGACCATCGCTAATTACAATTCTTGTCAGCTCGATATTTGAAAATCTCTATCAAATTGCGCAAAATGCAATGAAAGAATTACTGAATGGGTCATTTCTATTCCAAGTTGGCTCGCGCTGGGTGAAGTAAACATCACATCCTCGTATTTTATGGATCAAGGATTTTACAAATTGAATGAGATTGAAAATAAACAGACGATCATTTGCAAATTTGTATCAACTATAGGACCATACTAGTAAATACATGTCTCTTTAATGGCGTAACATCTCCGTGCTTATGCCCCATGTAAGGGCAGGAAATTCTAGAGCTGGGTTGGCCAATGCCAAGATATAATAATCGATTCTCTATAACGACACCAATTTTCAAAGAAAATCCCCCTTGAATCATATCCGACTGGTTTTGTATGTGTTGTACAAATCCTCCATTTTATTTCGTTTTCAATAGATCGTGGTTTTAGACAAACGACATGTTTGCTTTTCGCTCTTACAATCTCGCAGATAATGCAACAGCCTTAAGCTACGCTCGCATGCGCAATTTCAAACTTGAGTTCGATTTCATAACACGCGCCTACAAAGAAACGTCCATTCCGACGAAAAGCCGAAACAATGACTCAGGGTGTTCGACCTTTCGAGACGACCAGGACACCCCGTTACATCCTCTGCCCGGTAGCTCCTTCTCGAGAAGGTTCAACTTCCCCTAATGCAGCGATATTGAGTGATGATGATCCATTGCAACACGGTGAGGAGCTCAGAAATATAAGAGTTCTTAATGATAAAAGGTCCGTCCCACAATCAGACCGGGCGAAGAGATTTTATCAATATGGTGAGAGCGCTGGTGAAAAATTGGTCAATTCACCCTCTGGTGTAGACGGAGCAGATTGATGACAACGTTTCTACCTTTATTGACGCATACTGCGGTACTATTCTGTTAGACATATTGTCGTTATTGGAAGTGACAAGGTACTATTGTCATCGTATAGACTGGCTAAATGGCAAAGCAACCCACGCTTAGATAGACATAGTCTTGGCTCACTACTACAAGAGAATCAATATTTCTCTTTGGGAAGAAACGTTCAACACATGTAAAGCTGTTTGAATTGTTAATCGACTATTGTCACTAGAGTTACCTGAAAACACTGCTCTTAAGTATGAATATGACTCAGTTTACCGATAATGCGCATTAAAGATAAGCAATATCCAATACAGGTAATAAACGTATAAAACTAGCAATACAACATGTACATTTATTTTATTTTTGTCATTTTAGTGTTATCATAAATAAAAAATGCGAAAAATATAGATCGTAACATCCCATCAAAATGCACTATATCTCTGTACCGTGACGTGACATTTAGCATGATGTGAAAGTGCCATGCCAGACCAAAATATCGAAATTCACATTTCAATATAAAACGGAAAGAAACGTAACCTTCAGAAAAGAGATTTTAAGCAATAATGATCGTAATACACTCCCTGTCAGACTGCGTGACATGTTCTAATATTAGACTTTTCGCGTCCAAAAAACTGATATAAATGTCGGCAGAAAAAAAACATAGGGTGACAGACATGTTCCAACTCTTGGCCGCCATTTGCCATTAAAGTCACATGGTTGACAGGTTTGGCCTTTCAGGACACTTTTACTTGAAGGTTACTAATCGGTTTTTTTTCTCCAAATATTACTTTCATGTCTCTACTTTCAATTCATTAGTCAAAAACAGTCGTGTTTCGCTCTGGTGATCACAACAACTCGTCCCACACGTAACGACATACACATCGTCATCCAAGCAAGGATGCTCTGTGGATCCACAGCCTAGTAGCTGTAAGAAAGGTGTTAATGGTACATTTGAAACTCTTCAGTAGCTATTAAACCTATTCATTTAGCGTCAGTATTTTACATTTTGCCAAATACATTGCTTCAAATCCAGTTCCCATAAACACAGCCATAAAACAACGAACATTAATATTTCACATGTAACCTTCCGTCAGATGAAAAAGCCAAAATCCTTTTAACAATTATCTAAAAAAAAGCGTTCACCTTTTAGTCAAAAGAATAATACGACTTACATTATATATCCCGACATTGTTTTACCGCAAGTCTGTGGATCATGTATCTTTACGTTTTACATGCTTAGTTATGTTAAAGCCATGTATATTTTATTGACATGGAAATGACTAAGTTTACTTTGACAATATATACTCATGCCAATAATGGCTGTCACCCCCCCCCCCCCCAGCCCACACACCCTCTCCAATTAAAAAAATTGAAGGGGGTGACAACCATTATTGGCATGAGTATATGATTTATGACTAACTTTTACAACATGTTAATTAATTTTAAAAGGTCTTTGACAAACTAAAATGTCATTAAACGACGCCTTGTCTAAGTTTATATGGCATCCGTTCCTTTCAACAGTTGAATTCAAAATTAATGGGCGACTTGCCACATTTAATGAGTGTGAGACACTTTTGAAAAAACTACGCCTTGAAATAATAGCATTGTGACTGGACGAGTGAGCTGACCCCTATAATTAAAGAGCTCTATGTAATGCGATCTGCCATGAGCCGAAGAAGAGACGGAAAAAACTACTGATTCTTCACTGTCCAAGGTTTTAGCGAGTGAAATGTATTATGTAGACGTCAAAGAGGCCACGTTGTCTGGAACGTCTCATACTGCACCATCCTCGTTAGACGCAGTCATCATCGGAGCCAGTTATCCTCAAGAGAAATAGGTGACCTTTTTGAAACAAAATGTTACGAAAACTCAAAAGCGCAATAGAAATGTTCGTCTCTGAATGCACATATCTTGATTGGTTTCATCTTGGGGTAGTGATATGCTTGCTGCGTAATGGACAACGACTGTCATTAGAGATGGAGTTTCAAAATCGTAATGTTTATGTAATCCGTCTAACGATCGGCTCCTTGCTGTTTCGTCTTTAATCTGTATAGTCTACGGTAAATGTTGTCCAACTATAATCCTAGCTTAAATACTAATATTACTTTGTCTCCCAGTCATGAATTTAAATGCTATCTTTAAGTATTGCTAAATCTCTCGATGCATACAGATAGAGCCATCGCCTCCCTGACGTTGTGTATGATACAGGTTTATTGTGATTACAGTCCTGGATAAATTTATCACATTTCTGCAGATCCATCGTATTAAGCCGTCTTCCTTGAAGCCTCGACCGTGCGGTAAAGTTCAAATTGATTTAAATGTTATTTCATTTGTTTTCCTAGGAATGTTCGGCTGTGCGGAAATCTTATTTTCAAATAAGCGGAATCAAAGCGAAGCATTTTTCTTCATTAAAATATACCCGATCTTTGATGTCAACATTTTATTTAAATTTCCAATGAGATTTCATTCAATCTGCTCACACAACTACCTATTTTAAAAGTCTCGCTGAAGTTAATTCTATTTAAATCTCAAGACTGCCTTTAAACGAGGTTGAGTCTGAAAGATGGCGGGATATGGCGTGTCGCATGTCCACCCTTCTAGTGAATCTGTCGGTTGATACAAAAAGATGAAAGCGGACTGAGGAATCATGATCCGGCTATTCTACAGATTAGGCACCTTATCTACAATTGCCATCCCATACGTGCTACCAATCGCGTGTAATTTAAACAACCGCGTCAAATAAATTGCAAACACTTGGTGTTATCTATTGAATTATTGTGCAAGAAGATGGGATATAATTATAGTCAATCTGGCAACGTTTATCAAATCAACGACGCAACACATACGCCCTCATCGGACGTAACCACGTTATCGCCCGGGTAATGGGGCCCATCGTCTGCGGATCTAAACTTGGAGTCGCATTTCCTTATTCTATTTTTTCACAGACAGTTTATCCCAGCGCTAATATTTGCACTGTCATGATTTCAGTCACATGCGCACACCGTCTTCATAATTCGAGATTTGACGATATTTGCACACTTTAACGAAAGTCAACACAAAATGGCGGCATTTCCTCGTTGGCCGGACTATAATCCCAGTTCCATCACAGCTGCAGCTTAAAGAGGTATTTAGTTCAACGGTTTACATTTGGGATAGAGAATGATTGCTCAGAAAGCTATGGAACGGTTCGGTACATAGACAAAAGTGGATTTCTTTCACAACTTAGCCCCTTCAGACTTAGAAAGATAATGTTGAAATTTTGAAAAACGCTCGCATCAGTGATTGGATGGGATCGAACACAGAGGCGTAGGTGGACATAAGATTATTTCAAAATTGAATCTTTACCATCAAAGCATCCTTCAAGAATAGAAAAATAAACAATGATCTAAATAGAATAACGTCCCAGTTCATCCGAAAGGAATTTTTCAAAAGACTGTCTCAGAACAAAATCTTTTCCAAAGAAAGATCTAACCGCTTTGATACCTATTGCAACAACGAGCTAAGTCAGGTCCTGCACACTGAATAGGCTGTGGTGCTGTATTCGTGTTATGAACGATCACTCATTGCTGTCAAAAGTGTTATCTATCGCAATCGACAAGCCGAGATAAGATGTTGCACCCAAACAATCAATTAACGTAATGGGTCAACAATAACCTGCCATGAAGTAGACAAAGACGGACAGCTATCGACATGCTATAGCGTCAAGTGCAGGGTATCGCTACGCCATCTAACCATTGTTTGCTTTTGTCGCTTTAAGTGAAAACATCCCAGCAGCAATACCGCCGTATCTCCTCCCAGATCGCTATTACGCAACATGGATCGCTGTCCAGAGATTTAATATCCTGAATTTGATTAGGGGGCTTCGCGAGTCTCTCTCGGCACGTAATAATTAGAAGGATGTCTCGGCAAGGCACAAGAAATTTTGATCATCGGATCAGTGCGTGTCGACTCGTTCACATCCCCCTTGATGT